TTATAGGACTTCAATAAATAATAAAGTTTATATTTATCATTTATTGAAATAGTTTATCATTTATTAAATGAGTTTATAATTTATTAACAGAGTAGAGCTCATGTTAGGTGTTCTTACTACATGTACACACCCCTTAAAAAACACCCCTGAAGGGACACACAGAAATTTTGGGAGGTGATGGATATGTCTCTTGTCCTGATTGTGGTAATAACTTTGTGGTGCATGCACGTGTAGACACTCATCAAATTACGTCCAGTAAATATGTCAAGCTTATTGCATATCATTTGTATCTTAATAAACGTGTTTGGGAATAAAAATAAAAGTTCCTATATCCATGCACATGTCTTTATTTTGTTTTGATTACACTTTTCACAGAAAAGTTGGAAAAAGAGTGATTCTGTATATTCTCATACAGAACCATCTAGTATTCACATTTTCACGAATAGGTAGTACATTTGTTAAAACTAAGGAACCCGCTTTACCATGTTACTCTTAACTCTGGACTGGATTTGCATTTCCCTTACAGGTCCTTTCTGCTCCAGTGTCCAGTCCAGGTACACAGTGCATTTGCCATGTGTCTCCAGTCTCATCTGCTCTTTAATTTTTCTGTCCTTCCTTGTTTATAATGACCTTGACTGTCTTTTTTTTTTTTTCTTTCTTTCTTCTGGTACTAGGAATTGAACCCAGGGTCTGAGTCAAATCCCCCGTCCTTTTTATTTTTTATTTACAAGACAGGGTCTCACTAAGTTGCTTAGGGCCTTGCTTAGTTGCTGAGGCTGGCTTTGAAATTGCAATCCCCCTGCCTAAGCCTCCCAAGCTGCTGGGATTACAGGCATGCATCACCACGACCAGCTGACCTTGACAGTCTTTTAAAAAGAGTATTGGTCATGCCTTTTTTAATTTTTTTTTAAGAGTGTGCCTCAATTTAGGTTTGTCTGATGTTTTTCACATGATTAGGCTGGAGTTATGGATTTGGGGAAGGACATACAGAAGTGAAGGATGTTATGTTCCATAACATCAGAGATACATAGTAGCAGCATGACTCATCATCATTAGCTGTATGATTTGGAATGTATCTCTGTGTTCATCAGCTTTCCACTGCTGTGAAAAAAAATAACCTAAAATATACTGCCTGAGGAGGAAAGAGTCATGTGGCTTACAGTTTCAAAGATTTTAGTTCATGGTCAGCCAGCTCTATGGCTTTGGGTCTTTTTGAAGCAGAACATCATGGTGGGGAGTGGATGGTAGAGCAAAGATGCTCACCTCATGGTGGCTTGGAAGCAAAGAAAGACAGAGGAGGGATCAGCTCCTAATATCCCCTGCAAGGTCACGCCCTCAGAGACCTAAATTTCTTCCATTAGGCCTCACTTCCCAAAAGTTCCACCATCTTCCAATAGCACAACAGGCTGGCGAACAAAACTTCAACACGTGGCCTTTGGAAGACATTTCAGATCCAAATCATAAGGAACAAGTATTATTTCTTTGTTGGCAGAAAATTCTCTTCTGATAAATTAATTTGAAAATATTGCTATTCAAACTTTTAATATTTCTAATGATGAAGGTGTCAGCCGAGTCTACGTAATAACGTTGAAAGTTAACATTTGATATTTTAACCTCTAAGTTGGCTACATGTTGCTGTTCAGGACCTCAACTCAACAACCTAGTGTTCTTGAGTAGTCAGTCAGTCCAGTCTGAGTTCTCGGTCATCAACATAATACGTATTTATTGGGGAGATAGCCCTTTCAGGCATTGTTCCAGAAGGATCTGTGTGTACCATTTTAAAATCTATTTTTTGAAAATCGAGGCATGTCCCCAAATTTAAAACTATAACACGTCGGATGATGGTTGGAATTCAGGCAGATGGATGTCAACCTTCAGAAGCTCGTTTTCTTCTTTGTCCATGACCTACCTGCCTTCTCATTCCCTCCTCTCCCCACATTTAAAGCCACAGTGATAAGCCAGGTGCAGTGGTGCTTGCCTGTGATCCCAGGTACTTGAGAGACTAAGGCAGGAAGATCACAAGTTTGAGGCCAGCTCATCAAGACCCTAGCAACTTACCAACTTAGACCCTCTCTCAAAATAAAATTTAAAGGACTGGGAATGTGATTCAGTGGTAAAGCACCACTGAGTTTAATCCCTAGTCTGAATGAATGAATGAATGAATGAATGAATGAATGAATAAAACCACACACACTAACTAAAACACAGAACTAAACATTCATTTGGGGGGTTGTGATCTCCAAGAGTCCTCTTTTAAAATGTAAAAAGTAATTTTGCTTGCATCCAGAGATGATAAAAAAAAAGTGTAAAAATATTTTTGAATAGGCTTCAAACTGTTACTCTTCCCCAACACCTTATGGTGAATTTATCAAGTTTCCTTATTTTCTGATGATTACCTGAGAACAATTTTTCCAGGGAACAGGTGATGGAGTATAGGGAAGGAAGACAGGACCTAGCATAGGGATCCAGGAAGTCCTGAGAGAGACAGCTCCCTTATTGCTATTTTATTTCATATTGAATAAGGGAATATTTTTGACTCTTTTTATTTTATTTGTGGTGCTGGGGTTTGAACCCAGGGCCTTGTGCATGCAAGGCAAGCACTCTACCAACTGAGCTATATCCCCAGCCTTACTCTTAATTGATTCAGTGAAGGAAAAAGATAGACAATGCTTCTGCTTTTTCTATTTTTCACTATAATTTTAGAAGGAAGCCCCTAATAATCTAATCATAGTTACACTAATGTAATGTGTCCATTGCTCAAGTCACTCATTTATTGCATGGCCTTGTGACAGTTATGTCATCTTGGATTCTTGGTTAACTTATTTATTTGCATGGAATGTATTAGGTATGTCATAGCCTCAATGATATAATATACAATAAGTCCTTTATGATATAAATAAAAATATATGATATAATATATAATAAGTCCTTGGTGGGTAAATACTGAGTTACACTTTCTGGAGTATATTATGATTAGCTATATAAAGCAATGTACATAGCAGATGTTGGCAGATATTGGTACTTTGTTGACCTAAATTTGGGAGAATAAGATGCTTATTTCTCTTTTCCAGCCTGTGGATGCTGTGTTCTTCACTGGGATTTATAGCAACTGCCTTTGAAACAATACATTATATTTCTTTTTGCTAAACAAGCAGATAATTAAACCGTCTTGATTTCAGAAAATGTTACACTAAAACATTTATCAGTAATGAGATTAGAATTTGTACCAGAATAGAGAAAGGAATTCCATGCGTTTGCTCTCTAAAATGTGATTGTATTCATAAGCTTTGATCCAAATTAAATAATGCAGGATAAAACTACAAAAATAACTTCGTCTAGTGAATGAAAACTCTCTTATTCTGAGGATTTATGATTAACACAGTATATTATGAACTTTATGTAGATTTTCATTGAACTTCTTCTTTTGCTCCTTTCCAGAACTTAAATTTAACCTTGTCAGATTGAAATGGGTAAGAAATGAACACACACACTTAACAGGTGTAAATGAGAAGGAAGGTCTCTGGAGATGATCTTCACTAGTGGCTAATAAAGGTTGGTCACTTCCTTTCCTAATTCACCATAGTCCTGGGGTCAGTTCAAAAGCTTCCAGACTCAAACCTGCATTGTGAGCCTTTTGACAGCATTCCAATAAATCAACCTGCTATTTTAGAATTGACTGACATTAACCTAGCTCAAGACTTAGGTCTATGCATTCATTCATTCATATCTATATAGACATTTATTTATTCAACAGTTATTGAACCCTATGATGTGCCCTATGATGTGCATTTTATATAGTGGGAATGGAGCCTTTTGTGTCATTAGACACATTAGTGCATATTTTGGTGAAGGAGTTTGATAAAGAATATTCCATATCACCAATAGGTGAAAAGGGAAGCAAAGGAAAATAAAAAGTAAGAGAATAGACAGAGGGGTGAACAAGAAGAGCCCATATGAAGTGAGACACTTGAGGTTTGTCCAAAGAGTTTCAGAGAGAATGTTCCTGAGGAGGATGCCAGCTTAGAAGGTCCTAGTGGCTGTAATGCTCAATGTTCAACAGGCCAGAACAGACCTGAGGACAAACAATGCAGAGATTTTGTATGGAAAGCTAAATCACTATCTGAAGGTTGGTTGATGAAGTCTGTATCTGAACAAGGGGTTAGTGACCTGGCACCAGTGACTTAGGGTATTGGCCTGAGTCAGTTGAGCATCCATCTATATTTCTGATCCATTACCTGACATCAGGTATGTCTCTGGCAAAGGAATGGGATAGGCACTGCCAACTTCCATTTCTTTAATTTGGTGCTAGATGAGTACTGGTTCCACTTAGGAACTGGAAAATCCTGGCAAGTTCCGTACTCTATCTAATTCTTTGTAAAGCAAACCAGCCCCAAGAGATAGTAATTTGCCCCAGGCCCACAGAGATGGAAACTGAATTCAGCTTTTGCCTGTGTCCTGCGCCTTCCTGCTGCCTCTTTGGGTGGGCTCACACTGGCAGAAAACAAATTTTGTGGCAGCCAATAAACCAGAGAGGAGGACTAGTGTGACCATTAGTTAGAAGTCTGTCTTTTTTAGTAAGTGTTGCCCTTTATAGTCTGAACTTGGAACATTTCTCAATATCGCTACATTTTTTTTTTTCAAATGTGCTGGGGTGTCTCCCTCTGTCTGACTTCCCCCCATGACAGTGGCACTTCCACAGGTGCATTTCCTAGTCTTCCTAGGCCTAGGGTCAGAGACAATACCATGTGTTTTTTCTCCAGCAGGTCACAAACAGCCACATCCTCAGGAGCTTACAACACACTTGCTTACAAAAAACAAGATGGTATTTTTTCACACTAGAAGACAGGACAGAGAATTCCAGGAATTACTGTCCTAATAATTATGATTTATTTAGATAGTACCCAAGTTTTGATGAGGTTGTGTTATACAAAACACACTTGCCAATTTTTACTTATGCATTTTCCTTTATTTCAGCATATTTAATGCAGTACACAAGTCAATAACGGTCTGCAAAAACACACTTTATTCCTGTCAAAGCAGTTTTACAAACATTGCATCATTTGCTGTGCAGGCAGGACTGGGTATGACTGGCTTTACTATCTTCATTTGAATGAGGGAAACTTAGATGCTGCCCACTGAAGGTTTTCACAGAAGTTACTTCATTTGATCCTCCCCGTGCATCTTACACAGCCGAAAGAGCGCGCACACTCCCATCAGTCTGGGCAAGAGTGGGGTGGAGGTTAATCAAGGCGACTTCCTGCTAGACAAGCCTGTCTGGTTCTGGTGGGGACAGACGATGGGGTCGGAGTTAGGGGCACATCCCTGGGCCCTGGTTCCCGAGCAAGGATTTCCCAGCAGCAAGCCCGCCTGGCATCTAACCCGGGAAAATCCACCCTGGCCAACCCGCGGGACCCCCAACAGGCAAAGTATAGAATCCCAGTGCGCGCGAGGCAAGTGCTTTAAGCGACATCTTTAGGGCGCCCTCAAGCCAAGAGCTGAACTCGTGCTGCTGGGACGCGCGGGGGCAGGTGTCGCAGCGGTCCCGAAGGACCTGGGAGGTCTTTCAGTTAGGCAACTGGAGAGCGCCGCCCGGGGCCAAAGGAGGGCCCCAGTAGGCCCTAACCCGCCGCAGCCGGGCGGGGTGTCGTGGCCTGCCTCCAGCCCCAAGCCAGCCCACTGCGACCTCAGGTACCAGCGAAACCCGGGCTCTGGCTAACGGCCTGCCCGGCCCCCTAGCGAGCCCCGCCCCTCAGCAAGCCCCTCCCACCGACGCGGCTCTCCCCTTACCACGCCCCTTCCGCTGAGCTCCCATTCCAGGCCCCGCCTCTTCCGCTAGCCCCGCCCCGTCCCTCTCACGTGTGGGTTCGGGAGCGTGTCTGTTTTCTGCGGGAGTCCTCTCGCCTGGAGGCCTGCGGTGCGTGGTTTCCGTCGCACCGGTACGGTCTCGGCCATGGGGGTCTCCAAGAGGAAGGCCTCAGGCGGCCAGGGCGGTGCAGCTTCCGCTGCGGGGGCAGCCAAGCGGGCCCGCACTGAAGAGCTCACGGGCGTACAGTTCAAGACTCAGCTGAGGGATCCGCAGGGCGCGGGGCCGGGTGAGTGCCGGGCGGCAGGCCCCGGGCAGCGAGCGCGTGCTTGCCAGGTGGCCTTCCGGCCACTGTCTAGACACGGCCAGACACAGCCTGCCGTTTCTGCGGGTCCTCGAGGGTCAGAGCCAAGCTTCTGGTTTTTGAAGGACACTGAGACTCCTGTGACTGTGCGTCCAGGGTCCCCGGCGGGCCAGAGCAGCTCCAGGACTGAGTGCTGCATTTCATTGCCCTGGGCTGTCAGCGACAACAGTGGCGCTGCCTCACTTGGTTTTGACAGTTTCATGCTGTTGCTCCTTTCCCTTGCCTGGGCACAACCATCAGCCGACTCTAAAATCTCCTTGTTGCAATTATCAGGAAAGTAAATCAAGCATCCTCATTCACACACAGAAAATGTTTATAGGGTTTCTACTTGATTCAGGCCAGTTCAGTAAGACAGTTTGGTATTTCCTTGGGCCATTAGCACCATTTTCAATGGCTGTGATCCTTCAACACTTAGGATGACCTGATAACACATGTGCAAGCTATGAGAAACCACCACAACTACTTGTCAGTTGCCAGGATTGGGCCAGTGACTGAGATGGAGCACATTCTGTAACTTAATCTTACTGTTGGTAAAGTGTAACCACAGTTAACAACTACTTGCAATTCTTTAGAAAGAATGGAGGTTAGGAAGAAAGAAACACAATTGAATGTGTTGCCAAGTGGAAACAGTGGCGTATTTCTTCCACATTAAAGAAATTACTAAATCTATGGTCAGCATATCCTCAACTTCTAATTTTTCTCCTATGGATTCTGTTTTTAAACTTTTGATGCCTGCCAGGAACACATACTAATACATTTCACTCATTTAGCCTTTCAGTTTTTATTAGGGTCTAGTGTTTGTTAGGGTTGAGATAAAATGTTGGTGAAAAAAAATCTGCCATAGGCCTTGCCATTGTGGGTCTTACAGTCAAGTGAGAAAGCAGATAATCAATAAAATCTCATATATATAATTCCAAAGGAGCCATGCATAGTGTCTGAGGGTACCTAACGGCCTTGGAACTAATTTGTGAGATGGAAGAAGATTCCTCCAAGGACATGGCTTTTCAAAAGGGCTACAGAAGGGACAGAAACAAGAGCCCTTCTGGAACAAGATGTGTTTAGCTACTATATCCATATTTTATTGTCTGGCTCAGAGAGTACCATGTCATTCATGAGCTGCGCCAGTTGAGCAGGTGTCAGAAAACAACTGGATTGACAGATGATGGTTGTAAAGGAAGTAGTTGAAAGATACTGCAAAGCTGAAAGTCAGTGGGTGAAAGCATGAATCCCCTGTGCAAAACTGCTTTAGATTTATGTTTGAATCTAGTCTCTTCCTTTGATTCTCTCCTCCCCTTTTTGATATGCTTTCAGCTTCCTCTGAGAGAATTTCTGGAAGATCAGGGAAGTAGAATTGATGGATGCATATTGGAGGATTTTCTTTCCATATAGGCTTAAGGGACAATTTCTATTTATACTTCTTTCGCATGGTACAGGAAAAAGCTGCAGGTGCTCAGTGGATCATCAGGGATGATCCTAGATCAAGAAGGGTTCTGCTTCAAGCCAGTTCCTTGGAAAGTTTGTGCCCCATATTTCACTGCTGATAGAAAAGATCATATTGAAATATGAGTACACAAAAGATTAAACTTTGGAGCTCTCTAGCCTCACATTGCTTCTGTGTTCTCTATACATTAAAGATAGTTCTGATCATTTGGATGTTCCTAGCCGAACCCTCCTTGTGCCTCATTCCAACCCCTGGCCTTGGCAGCTCTCCTTCTGAGTGTCCCTGGAGTCCATCAGCTCCCCTCTTTCTCCACCATCATTCTAGTCCAGGCACCTTCAGTACCTATTGGGACTGTGGCTAAAGCTGCCCAGGGTTGGTCTCTCTTTTCTACCCTTGCTTCCCTACAGCCCTTTCTACATGCAGGAGGTAAATGATGTTTTAGAATTTCAAATCTGATGTTGTCACTCCTCTCATGGCTTCCTTCTGTGGCCTCTCACTGTTCTTAGGGTAAAATCCAGAATCATTACTGGTGCCTCATCTACCCTTGCTTTCTTCTCTGCCTTCATCTCAGGCCACGCTCACTCACCTACTCATTTATTTGCCTAGCATCAGTACTCTCCAGCCTCGGGGCCTTTGCATGTCCTTATCCTGCAACACTAACTTCCAATGCATTTTTGCCATTATCAGGTTAAGTATTACTGCTTCAGGGAAAACCTTCCCAGCCCTCAACTCTAAATCATGTTCCCCAGTTATAACCTCATTATATTCTTGATTTTTGCTTCATTGCACTTAAGTATAATATGACTATTTAAGTGATTGTGGTAGGTAGTTAATAAACATTCATGGAATGAAAGTTGGTCTCTGCTGCATTGTATGTACATGTGAGTAGAGGCCATTTCCAGGTTGTTCACCAGCACTTCCCAGGCACCCACTGTAATGCCCAGTGCATGTGGTGGGTGCTTGGTAGATGGTAAATAGAAAGGTGAGCGCAGAGATGGCAGATGTAATAGGTCAGCAATTTCAACTCTTGAATAGCCTGAACTATCTGGAGTTTTATGTTAGAGTTTGGCAAATGATTCCTTAAAAAAGAATGAATATTACTACTGTTCTTTCTGAATATAGTAGCAGCCCTTGCTGTCTCTTGCATTCTTGCATTTTCTTAAAGGAGAGGGATAGGGCATTGTGAGCAATTCCAGATACCTGAGGATTGAGCTCATGTGACCCTTAAAGGGAATTTTTAGGGTGAATTTATAGAGAAATATGCAAGTAGGAGTCAAATCTCTTGGCTTTTGAAGAGCATCAAGGTCCACTGCAGTTCCTGGTGCTGGCAGTGGCCCAGGCTCTGTACATTATATACTCCATCCCACATAAAGCAGCACAGGTCAGCTCTAGCTTTTAAAGGAAGAGCATGGTTTTGGGAGCAAGACTGCCTGGATTTGAGGTCTTGTTCTGCCACTTCTTAGTTAAGTACCCTTGGCCAGGGCCTCAGTTTTCTCATCTCTAAAATGGTTCTAGTTCATGGGGTGAAGGGTCATGGTGAGAATGAAGTGACATGACATAGAACTCATAGATTGCCATCTGTTAGGTGAGGAAATGAAAGCTAGGAGGCCCAGGTGAGAGTGCTGGCTGGAGCCAGGATTGAAACCTGTGCATTCTGTCAGCTCACAGCTTGTTTATTCCTATACTGCCTTCATTCATCAAGTGTTTTTGTAATGTCCATATGGATCATCTACTGGAGCAGTTGAAATAAAGTACATGGCTTAAACTGCATTTATTTATTTTCTCACAGTCTGGACCCTGACAGCTGAGATTGAGGTGCCAGAATGGTTGTTTCTGATGATGATTCCTCCTGGATTGTAGTCAGTTGCCTTCTTCTTGGGTCCTCCTGTGGTCATCACATGTAGAGAGAACCTTCTGATATCTCTTACTTTTCTTACAAGGACACCAATCCTGTGGGATGAAGGCCTCAATCTCATGACCTCATTTAATTTTAATTACCTCCTGAAAGGCTCCATCTCCAAATACAATCTAGTAGGAGGACCACATTATGTGAATTTAGGGGGGAAACAGTTCAGTCCATAACATTTCCAGTGGCTTCTCTGGCTGTGTAGGTAGGTCATGAGGATCACGACAGGGAAAGCGGGTTGCAGTAGTGGCTATGATTGTTTCTGAGGAAACTGTCCTCGCTGACCTTTGAACATTACTCTTATTTCAGCCTTGGAAGCATTTGTCACTGCTGCCAAGAAGCTGCCACAAGAAGACAAGTATGATATCGTGGAAGGGTATATAAAGATATCTGTTGAGTGTGCAGAAGTTTTCCAGCTTCTGAGTGGAGAGAAGCGGCCTGAAAGTGAAGTATGTTGTTTCTTACCTGGTTTGATGAAGAGAAAAAAAATGTTAATGATGTTGTGATGTTAAATTTGATGAAATAATGATATAAACATCTCAGACAGTGCCACGTTTCTACAAGAATGATGTTTCTACAGATTTGTCTTGGTGCTATAGGAATACATTCATTAGTACCTTCATGACCTTTGAAAGCATTTTAGTCGGAATCACTAACTTATTATTAATATTTGGTGAATACTCTCAGAGGTAGGATCACAAACTCTTAATCAGAATGTACCTGACTTATTTTAATATAAGCAAAACAGCTAATCACTGTCTCAGGACATGTGGTATTGGTATTATCTTTTGGTTCCAAAGAGGTTGAAAATTCGAGATATTTATGAATTTGTTGAAGTCTCAAGATTATTGTTATAAAGACGGAACAGAATGTCCTCAAAGTGATGAGGCCCAATCCTTTTTAGAGTTTTCTCTCTTTTGGGGAGGTAGGGGTGGGGGTGGTACCAGGGATTGAACTCAGGGGCACTCTACCACTGAACCACATCCCCAGCCGTATTTTGTATTTTATTTAGAGAAAGAGTCTCACTGAGTAAAGCTCCTCACAGTTGCTGAGGCCGGCTTTGAACTTACAATCCTCCAACCTCAGGCTCCCAAACTACTGGGATTATAGGCATGCGCCACTGCACCCAGCTAGAGTTGTTTCTTTTCATGTAATTGAAAGCAAGCCATTTTGTATTTCCAGTCCAGAACCTGGGTCTTTGCAGGTGA